GAGAATGTTTTGGTTTATCCAAAATTAAAACTGTACTGTACTTACCAAACATTATCTTTTATCAATTTCTTTTTACATTTACTTGCTGAAATCTTCATTTTTCATAATAATATTATTTCATTCACCTTTTATCATAAATGCCAATAAAGGAAACGCAATTTGATCATACTTTTTAAGAGATAAAAAATTGGAATAATAGGTTCCAAATAAAAAAATTAATCAAAAGTAGTTGTAATCAAGTAATTCCAAGAATAAATTATTGTTATAGATATGCACATATATATGGAATATTATTTATTTATGTAGAAAACTTCAACAACTTTTATATATAAAAATATAAATAAAAAGTGCGCTAAATTCATTAACTGTGCGAAATTATATTTGTTTTGGTTCAATCCGAGCCTAACGTAAGTTTCTTTTAATATGTAAGAGCAGACGTAGGTATTTTTTGGGCCACTGTATTTAAACTTGAGACCTTGATACTCAAAACGATCTATTTCATGGAATAACGTCTATATAATTCGCATGGTCAGCGCTTTCCAGGAGCATAGGTGTCAGGTATGCTTTTTATTTTACGATTACTCTTTTTATTAGCAGTTTTTAATAACAAGAATACACAAAGCATACGTCTAATAAGTGGCATTAATACTCTGTCCAACATAGCCAGACAATCTATTATCAACTGTAATGATTAAGCCTATTATCTTTACAAGTAGAAGTCATATTAAAAAAATAAAAACAATATGAACTAATTAATGCTCTTCAGCTATGAAGGGTTGTATGTACGTAGTTATAGGATTGACTTGCGCTGCAATTTTAACATGATTATGCGAAGGAATTTAATTTTTTGTGAGCGTGGTAAGAAAAATTGTGGCTTAAAATAATTACGTGTCCTAGACCCAGACATTGTCATTACATTTTCTGCCCGTTCCCAGCAAAATTGACCCTGGAATGTTCTTGTCCATACGTTCTTATCGAATTTCAAATGATTATACTATATTTTGTAATTAAAGTAGGTGGATGTTTTCAACATTATAGCACAGATGTGAGATCAATTGCCTATGTTTTAATGTAGGGATCAAGTCCACCTATAGTAAGTTGCGCTGTAATAGTAACAACAACCTTGAGAAATAAAATGTATTTGCTTTACAGTTAATGCTAATTAAGAACAAGGCAACACCCAACAAATGAAAAATTTTACGCAATAGAAAATTAAATATTGCCGCATTAACTCAAAATGCCTTAAAATGTTCCTTATAATCTTGTACTGAACATGAGTACAACGTAGGTGTAGTATAGGGTTGAGAGTAAAACACAAAGGAAACAAACTACAGGGTAAAAACAAAGAAAAAAAAGACCTATTCTGCATACTGAAATCCTAATTTATNCAATAAAAATAATATCCGTTTTAAAAATTGTAAAATATCTACTTTTTATGATTTATTTGTAATTTTATTTAGAACTGAAATATACATGCAGACGATGCAATCTTTGTACAGTGATACATACATTATAGATACCTTCATGACAGCAATAACTTTGTTAAACATTTATGAAAACAAAACACTCGTTCGGTAATTACTAAACGAAAGATTATGTCACTCCCGATATAACAAAACCAAAATTACTTAGGTAATATTGATACAAAACAACATTTTGCTTTAAGAATTACTATTTTTTTATACTAGATAATCATCGTCATTGTCATTATTATTATTGCCGTTGCGTTGACGAATGCCATTAAAAAGAAAAAAGCCTGTATCTATTAAATGCTGTTCAATTTTCAGCGGATTAATGATTTTATTAGCACCTACTACAGGGTAACAGCGACAATTCACTATTCATGTCTTACGTCGTTTTTCAGTCTATGTGACTAATTGCTTTGCATAGGTCAAATAGTAGATGTATTAAAAATGTGTAGGAGTATGAGGTTTTTATGCTTACCTAATACTTGAATTAATTCAGAGATAAAAACATTACTTTCTACTGAGGTAATTTTGCAATGAATTCTAAAGAAATAACATGCCAATCAATGTAAACTTTAAAGGAAACGTTTCCATAAGGGTATTTTTTATAAAATAATAAAATTGTTTACTAAAAATCTCAGGTAGGTACCTATGTAAACCCAAAAGAGACTCCCTAATTACCACAAAACCTGTTCACTGCGACACGTGTTTCGCCCACGTCTAAAGACCAGTCTCGCGTTGATAACAGATCACAAGAGGACGAAAGACGTGTCCGCAGTAAACCGGTTTTGTGGTAACTAGGGTGAGCATATTTTTGCTCTATTTATTTCTTCACACCTACTTCTTATAAAATACCTACTACTTATAATACATATTACTTTGTTATACATAATTTTTATTTCTACTAACTCCGCAGAATTTTTTTAATTTATTTGGTTATAAAAAGTTATAAAACATATTTCACATATATTTACCCGCATTATTAAATAGCACTGTATATGTTAGATATTCAAGGTATTCAAGATACGACGTTGATGTGTACGTTCATTTACACACTGGCTTGTTAACGTTATTTGTTATTCAAAAATGAAAAGAGTTACAGTTTTTTCATACCGTTGATCAAGTTGTTTACTTGTATTTATAGAAAAACAGCAACATTCTAGCGATAAATATAGACGCAAAAATCATTACAATTACAAAATACATATGTATAAACGTGTTCGTAGATATACATGTGTAGCTATGTAACTCTTGAGACGCGTCATATAATTATGTATAATATAATTATTGTAGATACCTATATACGCGAAGCTAGCAAAAAAAAAAACATAACGGTCTCGAAAAGTAATGGTTTTATATAGTATCATTTTTTTCTTGAACGACAAACGACAATAGGTAATAGCATGTATGTTCTTATATAAATGTATGTATACTGAGAGACAATTGTCGAATTTTTATTTATACATACATAATACGCCTAATGCACAAAACGTTCACCAATTTTTTCTCAATTTTTTCAACCATATTGCAAAAAGGATGTTGTACCTATGTATAAACCGCTTACATTAAAAATACAAATATTAACTACCGATCAAAACAGACGTTATCGCAGAGATTTATATTTTGAAAAACCTAACGCTTTTGTATATGTATATTAATGAAAATTTTTGGTTTAAATAAACACTTAATTTGCGCGGTATTTTTGATTTTCTAAATGTTTCAATTACGTCCTGATAACGTTGAAGTGTACAGACGATATATTAACCGTATCTAATGTATCTTATCGCCACCAATTGTTAAAGACTATACCCACAATTTTTATGATACATTAAAAATTTCATAAAAATAGAGAAATCAGTAATGTACCTATAATAATCGTCCTAGCCATTGTCAGAAACATTTTTTTTAAGAGAAAACGTTTATTTTTATAGTGTTAATTGCTTAAATAAATGCATTTTCGTATTTCGATGTCAAAAACCTAAAATGCCTTTATTAAAATCTTACAATTTCATAACTACGCCACTGAGCAAGCAGTTAACTGATTAGTTAAAATTAATAAAGATTGATATGCGTTTCCCCTTTTTTTTAAATCATATCAGTAATTCATTCACTCATTCATTAAAAACTACTTCCCAATGTAAAACCTGTGAGTCAATTTTTAATATAAATATCACGTACCTATATACAAAAAAAAAAAAANTATTTTTTGTAAAGTGTGTTTATACTATTGAAACACAAGCAAAGAGACCCACGGTGAGAATAAAACAAGGAGTGGTTGCTGGGGTAAGTTGTACTGTTGTAACTCTACTCTATTTTTCCATCTCATTCCTGTGGCAAAAAGTACTAATATGGGAATAATTCTTCCGCCCCTGAGTGCCACTGCCCGGGGATGTTCAGTAAAACGTTTTGTTCGAGTGTTTAAGTTATCGTTTAATAAATAATTTTTGGAAATGTTTATGATTAGAATGTAGGCACTTTTGGGCATTTTAGGTAAAAGTATATGCTGAATCAGGCAAGGTGATTAATGCATATTTAGGTATACCTTTCGCTGCTCCTCCTGTGGGCCAATTACGTTTCTCGCCTCCACAAATTCATGGCGGATGGAATGGGACATATCAAGCCTCAGCATACGGATCTTCCTGTCCTCAATTGCCAATTCGAAATGATGTAAACGAAAACGAAAATTGTTTATTTCTTAACATATGGACACCGGAAGTAAATAATTTTTTATTATTGTAAAATATACAGTGTGATCCACTCAAAAAGGGCACAATGAAATGGTCCAATTTTTAATGATCATAAATACTTATATAGGCTGTTCGAAAAAATGCCTCAACGTTTCTGTTTTTTCTTCATACATAACAAATTAAAAAGGGATTTCTACTCATTTGGTTGTCTAGCTGGGATGATAAACATTAAACTATTATGTGAAAACAATTTTGATTAGGAAGATTAAATATGAAATTGTTGAATTGGGAAACAGTGTAATTGTTATTTACAATGATGGAACAACTACGAAATTAATTACAAATATTATTGTCACCGCGTATTTCATATCAGAACCACGAACATAATGTTTACATATCGCAGATAGACATACAGTGTAGTAATATCAGAACACATGCTTTGTCTTATTGTTCTATACAATATTAGATTGTACCTATGTTCTCACACCCCTCGAAAATAGCAATTAACTAGTTTACATGCAACATACGTGCTAATATCCTTTGATTCCCAGTGAATCGAATGAGAACTTAAAATACGTATGTATGACACAAATTCATAAACATTAAACTTGCAGGGTGTATCAGAGGATTCACCTTTGTCGGTAGTAGTATTTTTCGAGGGATCCGAATTCGCCCAGGGTAACAGATTTCCGATATCGGGACAAGACCTTGCAGTAGAAGGTGTTGTAGTAGTTAATGCTAACTACAGACTTAATATATTCGGTTTCCTTTGTTTTGAGAATAAGGAAGCCAGGGGCAATATGGGCTTATTAGACCAATATTTATCGCTCATATGGGTGAAAGAGAATATTCGAAAATTCGGGGGTGATAGTGAAAAAGTTACCCTTTTCGGCTATTCAGCTGGAGCAGCTAGCGCAACTTTACACATGATCTCAATTAGAACCGCAGGTAGTCATGATATCGGGTTGTTCGGAAAGTCATTTCGTTTTTTCCCGACAGAGGATTTAATGCACCACGTTCGGGAAGGCCGGTTGAAACTGATAAAGACGCGATAAAGGCATTAGTTGATGTGAACCGGCGAATAACAACACGTGAGATCGAATTGAGGTTAAATTTATCAAATTCAACAGTTTATGACCACTTGAAACCCCTGGGATAATCCTCGAAGCTCGATGTATGGGTTCCCTATGTTCTCACAGAGAGAAATCTGTGTCGCCGCATTGAAGTCTGCGATTCGCTTCTCAAACGTCACGAAAATGATCCGTTTTTGAGCGCATCATCACTGGGGACGAAAAATGGGTTGTATACAACAACGTCAAACGCAAGAGGTCATGGAGCAAAAAAGATGAACCGGCTCGAACCATTTCCAAAGCCGATCTTCACCAAAAAAAGGTGATGCTGTCTGTTTGGTGGGATTTTAAAGGAATCGTTTTTTTTNAATTTAAGCTTCTTACTCGTTTTTACATTGTGAAAAGGAATGTTGAACAGAAGTTGAAATACTGATAACCAATAACACTAATGTACTGATAATTTTATCACTTTTTGAAGCGCTTCTACTTTACTTCTGTATAAACAAACTGCGAATCGTTACAAACATACTACAAACACTACTAAAAAATTAAATTACTAACCTGTGATAAAAAGCAAGCTTTTTGCCATTATTCCTCCATGGAAGATCTGCAACAAAAAGTTTGTTAATTAGCAGCGAAATTTTAGGTCGCTTAAACGCCTGATTTACAGGCAACACATGTTGCATTAGCGGTTACTATTTTGAAGTGCATTCAATGACAATACTCAATGTAATAAAAATACTTATGAAGACTAAAAATAGCTTACTGTGCAAAAGGCCAAACACTTCATTAAAACAATATAGTACAATAATATTTTAAAATATCACCTACAGTATTAATTAAAAATAAATGCATAACTAAACTCGTATTTACTTTAAGAAATTAAACAACAAACGATAGATTTTTCAACCAATATTGAAAATAGTACACTCAAAATTAATAATTAATCGTAAGACTAATTTCTAATATTGTCAGTATCTACTATTTTTTAAACAGTGCAACCAAAATCAGTTGTTATCAATTTATTTTGTTCTCTCCCATTCCAACTTCCAAGATGACAAAAAATTAATATCAATACTTTGTAATATTAAAAAAAAAAACTGATACCGATTACACATTAAAAAGCTACAATTATTAATTACATGCATGGGTATACCTACTAAAAAACTTTGCGATGCCAACCAAGTATGTTGCTTCTATTTTTAGATATAAACAATTGTTTGTCTTTGAAAAATTTATGATCTTTTATTAACATCAGCTGTTTTCTTTAAACTGTCTTCATATAACTCGATATGCTATTAAAAATTTGAAATCGAAAACGAAAAAAAAATTCTGTTGCAGAAACTTGTAGTTAAAAAAATTAATCGAGTTAATCAATTATTTTCTAGTATTGTACGATTAATATTACTGTTTTAATGACAAAATCCGTAAAATTGTAAAATATTTTGAAAGTTCTGGCGCAAACATTTATTATTTTACATCTTAGAAATCGTCGTTTGAAGTAATTTTGATAAAATATGCATATGTTATGCGACATGACCCGATCAGTATGTTATTTACAAAAAATACAGGATTCTATTCGAAAGTAATAAATTGGTTTTACGAAAATATTCCGGTTCCACTAGTTTTTGTAACGTTGTTTCTTCTTTAGAAACCAGTATTTAAATATCAAAAATTATGCTTAGTCGAGTTCAAAATACTGCTGAAATATCAAGAGATTTAATGCATTTTAATATGAATTCTATTTTTATGAAAAATACCTATTTTTCATAAAAAACTAATACCTAACTATTATATGTAAAAAAGAACAATATTTATTTTATCATAAGAGACACTAACTGTGACGTTAATTAGCAAGAATAATAGACTAACAAATCTATTATCAGGGAGACTTTATTGACTACGTTACAGCATTACGTTTTTTATGTTCTCTTATTTTTTTTACCACAGTGACACGGATGTGTACAATCAGTTGCAATTTTAATTAAAAATTATAATAAAAATATAACGTGCTGACTAGAACCAATTATAGCATGTTAATAAACTTGAAGAAAATGAAACAGTAATTGATAAGTTCGTGTACATTCGTTTTATCTTTTCACTGGCGTGGTAGCTTAGCAACTGAAATAATGTCACCAACAGATGTTGGTTAGATAACTAGAAATTGTATATAAGTATTTATATGTATAATGTGAAGTAATATTATTATATTGTTTACGAACGTTTTAAAGAAACGGGAAAAAATTGTTCAAGAGTCTTCAACTACGAGCGCAATTTTTTAGTTTGTCTTATAAAAAGTGCATAATATAAAATTACCAAATGCAAGAAATTCAGCCAGGTACTTCTAAGATAACACCTCACACTACATATACGCTTTTTTCAATATCCTATAGGTACTAGCACTAATGATCTTTTCATTTTCATGTATTTGTAAGAATTTATGTAAAACGAAGTAATAATTACCAACAGCAATGACAAACAAGCAACAATAAGTTTTTAAAAATGGTTGATCTTAAAGAATACGTAACCGGATGTGAGTGCAATAAAGGGAATAATCAAAGCATACCAACTGTAATCGTTATGTTTAAAACCAACCATAAAATATGAAAATAATTAAGTAATTGAAAACCGAAATACACTTTTTTTGCATCGCATGATATACAATATTATCAACAATGTAATGTTTACATAAAAATTCCATTTTATATTATCTCCCTGTAATTATTTACTTTAGTAAACTACCGATAGTTTGTAAACATTATTTGTCCAAATCTACTTATACAGCTCGTATTTGGTGAATTCTGTAGTAATTCGCACATAAAAAAATAATGAAATGGACATACCGTTTGACAAAGATTGGGTTTTGAAAAAGATAACGTATAATAGGGACTTGTGAATAAAATGTGTACGTCCAACTTTAGACTTGTCACACGCGATACGATAATTAGATTGGTTGGATGTAATGGAAGGGAGAGAACCAATAGAATGTCGGGTGTTTCAACTTTGAAAACAGTTCCGTCATACATAGAGTCTGTTTTTTGGCGCCTTTCGGTTTAAGCCCACCTGTTTGTTGCGGTATTGCGCTTTATAAAAAACAAAAGTATCTAATAAGTGCCTAATAATTATACAACACATACCTACGATACATGTATCAGATTCCTAAACGGATAGTTGGAATTAAAATTAATTCTCGGATGCGCGATGGAACGTTAGTGTCGTAAGTTATTGTTTGCTACTGACAGTCATAATAGTTTTTTATAATAGCACTTACGACTAATGTTTGTCGTAAGCAAAGGTCTATAAGGTGTGCTATCAGCATAACATTGTACATGGAAGCACGTGGTTAAACAAAACGTTCTATTATGTCTCAGATACTGTAACGAAAGTAATTGAATACAATTAGCGTTTAGTACTGTATGACTTAATTTTGTAATTAAAAAAAAAAACCAAAACAAAATACTCCATCTGTCGTCGTAACAAAAAATCTTTAGATGTCATGAGATACGTTATCTCCTTAATTATTCCTCGTTGCCCTCTATGTACACAAGTTACTTTTTTGTTTGGTTTGTTTTTTTAGAAACTTGACGCCGATGAAACTGCCTGAACCTGTTTAGCTACTGTACTGCAAAATACACTTTGATTTCAGTCTCGTTGCATTTTACGTACAATTTGGAATTATCTACATATGTACATTGAATCATAACGATACTCGCTTAATAAATTTTGAATTCGCATACTAATTGTCATATTACGATAATGAATTAGGCAATATCAAAAACGTTATTTGTCTAATGACAACAAATAAATAAAAAGAAAAGTAAACAAGTTGTGAAGATGCTGTAGCGTTCAAAACATTCCTGCTAAGTAGCAGGAGGAAAGTGACACTATTAATGTATCATATTAGATACCATTGGATTGGCAAAAATTAAGATTTACCATTTCATGTGGAGAAAATTAAATATTTGATTAGTTGACCTCTACTGGCCTTTTGCAGTCTTTGCGTAGAAACCTTCAATGTCAACACTTATATGCCGGTGAAGGCCATATTATGGCATGTTAATAATATCTCCTTATTATCATCAGACAGCGAAGTCCACTATAAAACTGAGAAACACGCACAAAAGTAATCGAACAATTCGAAACTTACATCGCATCAGGTGTTATGCACATTTGTTTAACACAAAACACAAACAGTTTGCAAACCCACTTGCGCGAATACATAACACTACTAGCCAAGTTACAAGTGTACTGCCCCCTTCCCTTCGCCGATTGCTGCTTCCAACTTTTGTTCTGACGTCAGTTGCTATTGATTTGAGAGTCGAGAGCAAGCAATGGCGCTGAATTACATTTACAGTTGATGCCTTTAGCCGTTTTAGCAGGACCCATTGCTTATGCTATGAAACTTGCTGCCACAGGCCGCAACACTTCCCGATGATGTCATCATGACATCACACTAAACTACAGTGGCCCAAAAAAGTATCTATCCATTCCATCTATCACATAATTATGTACCCTAAATGCTATTACACACACATTATTAGGTACAGACTATAGACTGTTAAACAGACAACACATCTCTCTAATATTTAAATAGATCATTATCTTCTGTTTTAATATCATATATTCGCTTTAGATACTTACAAGGTACTAATACTAATTATTTATTTATATAAACTGTCCACAAAATTGAAAATTAAACCATCCAATTAAAATAAGAGTGTGTACAAACTTTAAAATCCAGCAACCACCTGTTTAAAATCATACTATACGTACCTATATATATATATATATATGTATATGTATGTATTTACATGTATTATAGGTATATAAATACTGAGCAGACATACTCTTATTTTAAT